GAAGACGCTACAACCAAGATTACTCTACCCAGCAAGGATCTCATTCAGATTCGATGGAGAAATCAAAAGCTTTACAGACAAGCAAAAGCTAAGAGAATTCAGCATCACCAAACCAGCTCTACAACAAATGCTAAAGGAACTTCTCTAGGCAGGAAACAAAAGAGGAGAAAAGGACCTACAATAACAAACCCATAACAATAAAGAAAAGGGTAATAGGAACATACATATCGATAATTACCTTAAACGTGAATGGATTAAATGCTCCAAACAAAAGACACAGGCTCATTGAATGGATACAAAAACAAGACTCATATATGCTGTCTACAAGAGACCAACTTCAGACCTAGGGACACATACAGACTGAAAGTGAGGGGATGGAAAAAGATTTTCCATGCAAATGGAAATCAAAAGAAAGCTGAAGTAGCAATACTCATATAAGATAAAATAGATTTTAAAATAAAGAATGTTACAAGAGACAAGGAAGGATACTACATAATGATCAAGGGATGAATCCAAGAAGATATAACAATTATAAATATATATGCACCCAACATAGGACCACCTCAATACATAAGGCAACTGCTAACAGCCATAAAAGAAGAAATCGACAGTAACACAATAATAGTGGCAGACATTAACACCTCACTTACACCAATGGACAGATCATCCAGACAGAAAATTAATAAGGAAACAGAAGCTTTAAATGACACAATAGACCAGATAGATTTAATTGATATTTATAGGACATTCCATCCAAAAACAGCAGATTATACTTTCTTCTCAAGTGCCCACGGAACATTCCCCAGGCTAGATCACATCTTGGGTCACAAATCAAGCCTCGGTAAATATAAGAAAACTGAAATCATATCAAGCATCTTTTCTGACCACAATGCTATGAGATTAGAAATCAATTACAGGGAAAAAGACGTAAAAAACACAAACACGTGGAGGCAAACAATATACTAAATAACCAAGAGATCACTGAATAAATCAAAGAGGAAATCAAAAAAAACCTAGAGACAAATGACAATGAAAACACGATGATCCAAAACCTACGGAATGCAGCAAAAGCACTGCTAAGAGGGAAGTTTATAGCAATACAATCCTACCTCAAGAAACAAGAAAAATCTCCGATAAACAATCTAACCTTACACCTAAAGGAACTAGAGAAAGAAGAGCAAACAAGACCCAAAGTTAGCAGAAGGAAAGAAATCATAAAAATCAGATAAGAAATAAATGAAAAAGAAATGAAGGAAACAGTAGCAAAGATCAATAAAACTAAAAGCGGGTTCTTTGAGAAGATAAACAAAATTGATAAACCTTTAGCCAGACTGATCAAGAAGAAGGAGAGGACTCAAATCAATAAAATTAGAAATGAAAAAGGAGAAGTTACAACAGACACTGCAGAAACAAAGTATCCTAAGAGACTACTACAAGCAACTCTATGCCAATAAAATGGACAACCTGGAAGAAATGGACAAATTCTTAGAAAGGTATAATCTTCCAAGACTGGACCAGGAAGAAATAGAAAATACGAACAGACCAATCACAAGTAATGAAATTGAAACTTTGATTAAAAATCTTCCAACAAACAAAAGTCCAGGACCAGATGGCTTCACAGGTGAATTCTATCAAACATTTAGAGAAGAGCTAACACCCATCCTTCTCAAACTCTTCCAAAAATTGCAGAGGAAGGAAAACTCCCAATCTCATTCTATGAGGCCACCATCAGCCTGATACCAACACCAGACACGGATACTACAAGAAAAGAAAATTACAGATCAATATCACTGATGCAAAAGACAGAATATGGATGCAAAAATCCTCAACAAAATACTAGCAAACAGAATCCAACAACACATTAAAAGGATCATACACCATGATCAAGTGGGATTTATCCCAGGCATGCAAGGATTTTTCAATATATGCAAATCAATCAATGTGATACACCATATTAACAAATTGAAGGAGAAAAACCATATGGTCATCTCAATAGATGCAGAAAAAGCTTTTGACAAAATTCAACACCGATTTATGATAAAAACTCTCCAGAAAGTGGGCATAGAGGGAACCTACCTCAACATAAAAAAGGCCATATATGACAAACCCACAGCAAACATCATTCTCAATGGTGAAAAACTGAAAGCATTTCCTCTAAGATCAGGTACAAGACAAGGATGTCCACTCTCACTACTATTATTCAACATAGTTTTGGAAGTCCTAGCCACAGCAGTCAGAGAAGAAAAAGAAATAAAAGGAATACAAATTGGAAAAGAAGAAGTAAAATTGTCACTGTTTGCAGATGACATGACACTATACATAGAGAATCCTAAAGATGCCACCAGAAAACTACTAGAGCTAAACAATGAATTTGGTAAAGTTGCAGGATATAAAATTAATGCAAAGAAATCTCTTGAATTCCTATACAATAACAATAAAAGATCAGAAAGAGAAATTAAGGAAACAATCCCATTCACCATTGCAACAAAAAGAATAAAATACCTAGGAATAAACCTACCTAAGGAGACAAAAGACCTGTACATAGAACACTATAAGAGACTGATGAAAGAAATCAAAGATGACACAAACAGATGGAGAGATATACCATGTTCTTGGATTGGAAGAACCAATATTGTGAAAATGACTATAGTACACAAAGCAATCTACAGATTCAATGCAATCCCTATCAAATTAACAGTGGCATTTTTTTACAGAACTATAACAAAAAATCTTAAAATCTGTATGGAGACACAAAAGATCCTGAATAGCCAAAGCAGTCTTGAGGGAAAAAAACGGAGCTGGAGGAGTCAGACTCCCTGACTTCAGACAATACTACAAAGGTACAATAATGAAGACAATATGGTACTGGCACAAAAACAGAAATATAGATCAATGGAACAGGATAGAAAGCCCAGAGATAAACCCACGCACCTATGGTCAACTAATCTATGATAAAGGAGGCAAGGATATACAATGGAGAAAAGACAGTCTCTTCAATAAGTGGTACTAGGAATACTGGACAGCTACATGTAAAAGAATGAAATTAGAACACTCTCTAACACCATACACAAAAATAAACTCAAAATGGATTAAAGACCTAAATGTAAGACTGGACACTATAAAACTATTAGAGGAAAATATAGGAAGAACACTCTTTGACATAAATCACAGCAAGATCTTTTTTGACCCACCTCCTAGAGTAATGGAAATAAAAACAAAAATAAACTAATGGAACCTAATGAAACTTCAAAGCTTTTGCACAGCAAAGGAAACTATAAACAAAACGAAAAGACAACCCTTAGAATGGGAGAAAATATTTGCAAATGAATCAACGGACAAAGGATTAATCTTCAAAATATATAAACAGTTCATGCAGCGCAGTATTAAAAAAAAAAAAACAACCCGGGCGTCCCTGGTGGCGCAGTGGTTGAGAGTCCGCCTGCCGATGCAGGGGATATGGGTTCGTGCCCCGGTCCGGGAGGATCCCACATGCCGTGGAGCGGCTGGGCCCGTGAGCCATGGCCGCTGAGCCTGCGCGTCCGGAGCCTGTGCTCCGCAACGGGAGAGGCCACAACAGTGAGAGGCCCGCGTGCCGCAAAAACAAAATAAAAACAAAAACAAAACAACCCAATCCAAAAATGGGCAGAAGACCTAAATAGACATCTCTCCAAAGAGGACATACAGATGGCCAAGAGGCACATGAAAAGCTGCTCAACGTCACTAATTATTAGAGAAATGCAAATCAAAACTACAATGACATATTACCACACCAGTAAAAATGAGCATCATCAGAAAATCTACAAACAATAAATGCTGGAGAGGGTGTGGAGAAAAGGGAACCCTCTTGCACTGTTGGTAGGAATGTAAATTGATACAGCCACTATGGAGAACAGTATGGAGATTCCTTAAAGAACTAAAAATAGAATTACCATATGACCTAGCAATCCCACTACTGGGCATATACCCTGAGAAAACCATAATTCAAAAAGACACATGCACCCCAATGTTCATTGCAGCACTATTTACAATAGCCAGGTCATGGAAGCAACCTACATGCCCATTGACAGATGAATGGATAAAGTAGATATTGTATATATATACAATGGGATATTACTCAGCCATAAAAAGGAATGGAATTGGGTCACTTGTAGAGACATGGATGGACCTAGAGACTGTCATACAGAGTGAAGTAAGTCAGAAAGAGAAAAACAAATATCATATATTAATGCATATATGGGGAACCTAGAAAAATGGTACAGATGAACCGGTTTGCAGGGCAGAAATAGAGACACAGATGTAGAGAACAAACATGTGGATACCAGGGCGGAAAAGTGGGGGTGGTGGTGGGATGAACTGGGAGATCGGGATTGACATATATACACTAATATGTATAAAACAGATAACTAGTAAGAACCTGCTCTGTAAAAAATAAATAGATAAAATTAAATTAAAAAAAATAAATTCAACAGGTGTTTGTTGAATTCCTACTATGTACAAGGCATTATGCTAGGTTTTACAAAGGACACAAAGGTGAATGATAGTCTCTGTTCTCAAGGAATTTACTGCTGTCCCTTGGTATCTGAGGGGGATTGGTTGCAAGACCCCAGCAGACACCAAAATCTGAGGATGCTCAAGCCCCTTAACATAAAATGGCACAGTATTTGCAAATAACTTATGCACATCCTCCCATATACTTTAAATCATCTCTAGATTACTTATAATACCTAATACAATGTAAATGCTGTGTAAATAGTTGCCTGTGTATGGCAAATACAAGTTTTACTTTCTGGAACTTTCCAGAATCTTTTTTTTCCCAATCCACAGGTGGTTGAATTCACAGATATGGAGGGCTGACTGTATAATCCAATAGATCTAATAGTATAAACTGAACTGAACATACAACATATTATTGAATATCTTGCTATTAAAAGTAGACATTTCTACTTCTTGTATTAATAATAAAACTATTGAGTACAATTTATATTTGCACCAATTTTTACCTGTTTGTTTGCAAACACAACCAGAGGAAGGATTGGATTTGTCCCAATTAGTTGATGAAGGTGCTTCTTGCCTTCAGGTAATCTGTTGTGATCTGCTGAATCCACCACAAAGATTAGCAGCAATCCCTTGGACAGGTACATTTCCCAACAGGAACGGAAAGGTTTGCTGCCACCAACTACAAAGAAGAGTAGAGAAGGAAGACACACACACAAGCCTCAGGAGAGTCCACAGAGGGGGGCAGGAAAGACACATTTTGATAATTCGTGAACACTGGATACATATTCTAATAAAAGACCTCTGTGAGACTCTACCCAATTCTTCAAACAACTTCAGCGATGTTACTGGGGAAATGATTGGTGGGAATATTTACCCTCCACAAGCGGGTCACTCATTCTGGAACACAAAGGAGCAGCATAAAGATCTTAAATTTGTACTACAGTGGATGCCTCCTGATCTGTTATACACAGCAGCCACGATGGCCAATGCCTGTCTGTCAGGTATAGCTCAGCGAATGGGAGTAGGATACTAAAATAATTCAGGGTGGTGGGTTAAAACACATATTTCTCTAAAATAAGTTTTAAATGGACTGATTTAAATGTCATTGGCTAGCCTCACTTGCACAACTTTTTTCCTTTGTCAAAATCCCAGAACTAATTTCCTCTCTTAATCTTGCACAAAGAGTTAATATGATCCTGTGGGCATTCAGGAATACTTGTTTCAGAAAAAATTCCTTTGGGTTATTTCATTCTGCTGATTCTTCCCAGAAGAGACCTTTTGGAATGATAATAATTCATACACAATGAATTCAGTTTTCATTTTTCTCCTGGGACAGAATATGACAAACAATGGCCCACAGCCTAAATCTGGCTCACTGCCTATTTTTGTACAGCCCACGAACAACAAATGGATTCTACCTTTTTAAATGTTTGGGGAAAAAAAGAATACCATTTTGTAACACATGAACATTATATCACATTTGGATTTCAGTACAAATAAAGTTGTATGAGAACACAGGCACATAGATATGTGCACATATGGTCTCCGGCTGCTTTCGCAGTACCACTGCAGGGTTGAGTAGCTGCACAGAGCCCATGCCACAGAGTCTACATTAGCTACTCTCGAGCCCTCTGCAGAAAAAGTGTGCAGACTCCTGTTACAGGGACTTAACAATACCATTTAAAAAAAGAATAGGAAAGGGTGTTGATTTGTCTTTGTTTTCTTTTGTATGGAGAGCCAGGCTAGTCATTCTTTGAAGTATTTTGTGTTTCTAATTTTTTTAAAGAATGTGTATAATCCAAGTAATTCATATGGTTTTAACACATGTAGTTTAAAGATGAACATGTCGTCCCCCATGTTTTTGGCAACACCATGACATTTCACCTACACAGGGACTGCTATCTTTTAGGTTATTAACTTCTAACTTGACAGCAATGTAGTTGAGAACACAGTTTGTATGATGCATCCTCTTTGAAAACTTTGTTAAGACTTGCTGTATGGCCCAGTAAGCGGTCTTTGCTGGTAATTGTTCTGTGAGTGTTTGAGAAGAACGTGAATTTTAACTTTTGTATGTGGCTAAAATTGTCTAATTGGACAATTTTATATTATTCACTAGATCGAACTTGTTGACTGTGTTCAAATTTTATATATCTCTGCGGATATTTTTTCTCCTTGATCTTATTAATAATTGACAAAGATATGTTGAAACCCCTCACTCCAATGGCAGATCTGTCCATTTCTCCCCCTAATTGGAGTTTTCTTTTTCTTTCCTATCTCCCTTTCTTTTTTTCCTTCCCTTTCCTTTCCTTCCCATTTTTCTTTTCACTTTTTATATTTTGAGACTTTTGTTAGCCATCCATTTCATTAAAAATATTATTTCTTCCATAGCTTCTGGGGAAATTGAAAACTCTATTCTTAACAATGTTTTTATCATAAAGATTTGCCTGCAGGCTTACCAATTTCTCTGCCCATTTTCTCTTCGCAACTGAATGAAAGCAAAAATTCATAGCATTTTACTTGCAGGCTGGAGGTGGGGTACAAAAGGGGGTACAGAAAACTCCCAGTTTTCTGGCTTGAGCATGCTGATGGGTGAGGAGACATTTACTGACCAGTTGGATTACAAGGGAAAGGAACAGATACGGAGATATATCAAACATTTTGTCTTGACGATATTAGGCTTGAGAGGCCAGTGAGACAGCCAGGTAGAGATGTCAGGCAACATCTGGATATGTTTGGCTGGAGAGATAAATTTGGAAGTTATTAGCATATAGATAGTATTTAATGTCAAGAGGAAAGGTGAAATTATCCTAGGAGAGAGTGTAAAGAGGAGATAAGAGGATCTAATGCAACTTTGGGGTACAGCAATATTTTGAGAGGTGGTGACTCCAGAACTGCTAGAGGAGGGGTTTCTGGGTTGCCATCCGGTTACAAGAGGTTTGGAGGTTACCTCTATTTGCATTTGCAGAGAAGGAAACACACTGTATTTACTTAGATTGCATTTATATTTGGGGTAGTAAGGGAGGAGGGAGGCTGTTACAGGAGGGGTGCAAAAGCCTTCCCCTCAACTCCCCTTTATCGCCACCACTGCAAAAAGAAGAAAATGAAAAGAACAGAAAGTGATTCCCACACTGTACCCAAGCACTAAACTACACATGCATTCTGAAAGTCTAGGAAAATCTGACCCAGTGTTTCATTTCACAATGACCCAATGTTGATAACATTAAATCTGGCTTAAGGTATAACAATAATGTGGCTATAGGCTATCGGTTATCCCCAGAACTACTGAGAAAGACAGCTTACTCTCCAGGAACTCCAACTGGCTGTCTTCAGTGCTGATACACACTGCATTGAAACCTTGGGTTGGTGCCACGCTGTGCTGGACTCTGTTTAAAGCTAGAGAGTGGAGAACACTGTTCTTTCCTGCTCCATCCAGGCCCAGCACTAGGATCTGCTTATTTTTCTCCTGTGAAACAAAAGATAAGTCAATAAAGCTATGCTATCAGGGCCTGGTTTTCCTGGCTCCTGGCAGTGTGCCTGCCAATAATATTGTGGAATTGTAAACCAGGACAAAATATCGCAAAACATTTAATAGGTCTAGAACAAACTGTACCAGTCAGTTTGTATTTTATATAATCAGCCATCAGTTATGTGATATTAATTGCATACCCCCTCTCCATCCCCCAACTCCTGGTCAATCTATCAAATATATATATATATATCAGGATTTATGGGAGGTGCCATATTTTCAGGGTCAATTTTCAGACTTCACTTTGCTTCCTGAGTTCATGTCTGTTGGAGACTGCAACAGAATTCAATTTGTTGTATGGGGTCTTGGGGCCTACTTGTTCCATATATTGACTTTGCCACTCAGCATGTAAGCATCTAAGGTCTCATATTATTAATCTGTCTTGTCTTCCCAGTTGAATCACTAGATTAAAAGCTCTTAGGGCAAGGTTACCCTCATAAATGAAAAGGCGAAGATTATAGAAACTGTTAAACCTGTTCCAATCATAATTGAGTATTTAAAAATCTGATGCTAAAACCTGATGAACTAGATGTAAACTTTAGGAAGAAGCATTCTACCAACATACCAACCTTAGAAAATTTTATGACAAGTGATTGAGGGGCAAGAAGGGCAGGCTGGTATGAAGACAGAAATAGAAATTTCAGAGTGCTCAGAAAGGTGACTTTTAGGGTACAAACTTTAATGTAAACAGTAATAAATGAGCAACAATCTAGCCAGACTACTCAGAGGAATTCTATTTCTCAAACAGCCTACTAAAGAGATTTCTCATGCATAAAAAACACTAATAAATGTCTTCAGTGGCATTGGTTTAAAAATAATAATCTTATACATTTCTGCTTGAACACTAAATGTTGACATTAGACTTAGACTGGATTTCTGTTTAAAAAAAAAAAAAAGTGATCCTAAACAGCACTAAATGTCTATCCCACCTCCCACCTCTTTTTTTATTTTTTATTTTTTAATATGTAAGATCTATGTAAAAGTAAGATGGTTTAAGGTCTGGTCTAATAGGGTCTTGTGTACAGGGCAGCATTTAATAAACCTGTCTAGTGAATAACAGAATGTTTTTGGAGTGAATTCTTGATGGCTCTTAAAGCAAAAGGTATTTCCATAGGTGTTTCCTCTCTCCATCCCCACTTCCTCCCCGTTCCCTCTTACCCACACCTAAATGTCATAGTGTCATTCTGAGAGAGTGATGGTAAGGAAGAGGGACTTGATGCATGAAGGGGATGTTTTAAAGCAATGATGCCACCAAGAACTGGCTGCAAGATGTGGATTGTGTCCCTCTCATTATCTCCACCAATGGCTCTACTCAGGCTATCCCAACATATTTCATCAGTTCCAAGATGCTGTTTGTTTTCTGTTTTTTTTTTTTCTCACATTTTAACATCTCTGAAATGAGGACTTTACAATCTATGGTATGTCATATTTTGGTTGGCAGCATTTTTTTTCTTTGTTTGTGTTACCTAAAATAATGGCACCTTAGATCCTATGAAATTTCGTGAATAAAAACAGTTCCCTACTCCCTTTCCAACCATATCGCTGCTCCTAAACCCCTAGAAATTCTGCAGTCACTGATGCTTTACATTTTGCTTATTTTTTAGTCTAAAATATAAGCCTCCTCATATTTATAATCTCTTAAGAAAAGCTGGGGTTACTGTAAACCAGGAGTTCAGACCCGAAATGTGATTCTCAACACCACTGTTCCTTGCAAAAGTTATTCATTTAACTATATGTGAACCTATGTAGTCTGTGTTTTACCAGAGATCAAATCTCCATTAATAATTCACATTGTTTAGAACCAGAAAGCAGCTCTGAGCTCAGGAACTCCAGGAGCACAGAGCCCACTGAGCTGATCCAAATAATGCCTGTTTTTCCTTCTTCCCTCTCAATTTTTAAATCGTGGCAAAATACACAACATAAAATTTACCATCATAACCATTCTTTAACATACGGTGATATTAAATCCATGCATAATATTGTGCAACCATCACCACTATCCATCTCCAAAACTGTTCATCTTGTAAGATTAAACTCAAACTCCGCACTCCCCCTTCCCCCAGGCCCCACCATTCTATTCTCTACGATTCTGACTACTCTAGGTACATCATATACGTGGAATCATAGGTATTTGTCCTTTTGTGACTGCAGTGCCTGGTTTCTGAGACCTCTCAGTTAAACCTTTGTGCCCGTCCCTTCTGGGCGCTGGTGGTCTGAAAACAATGGAAGTAGTAACCTCAGCGCCCACAGAAAATGTCCAGAGGGACCCAAAACACATCCTGCACAAATTCAGGAACCCTGCACCTTCCCACATGGAACTTACGAAACAGAAAAGACTGGGAGAGAGAGCGCATGTGTGGTGAGGGTTTGGGACTGGTTTCAGTGTCGTGGGCGTACTGGGAGCTAGCGTTGGGCGTCGGACAGAGATGGGGCTGGAAAGAGGGCTGTTCCCCGCGCTCCCGTGAACCCGACTAAAGCCTCCTCTTCAACACTAGACCAGACGAGACCTGACCTTCCTCAACACTAGACCTAGACCTTGGACGCAGGGTCGGGGTTAGGGGTGAGAGCGGGCAAGGGGCTGGGGAGATGGCGTTCGCAGCTTGGCACACCTGTTTCATCCGCGGTTACAAAGCCCGCACACGAGACCGGATTCCCTCCGGCGCGAGAGCCGGCGCTCCGGCCAGAACGCTGACAACGGCCTTGGGTGAGGGTCTGAGGCACCCGTCTCTTACCGGCAGCTCCAGCGGCGGCTTTGCCAACGTGCTGTTGTCCTTCTCTTTCTCTTCTTTTTCCGTAAATTGTTCCTTCCCCTTCTCCGTCTCCCGCCCTTTCCTCTTTTCCTCTTCTTTACTCTTACTTTTCTCCTCCCTCCCCCTTTCCTTTTCTTTTTCCTTAATTTTCTCCTTCTCCACCTCCTTCTTTTTATCTTTCTCCTCCTTTCCTTTTCCCCGTATTTTCTCTGTCTCCGGCTCCTTTCCCTTCTCTCTCTTCACTTTCCCCCTCTCCATCCCCACCACCCTTGTTTCCCTCCCTCCTCCCATGTGCCCGCGCGCTGGAGCTGCGGTGCGGGGTCCCGTAAGGAGTGGCCCCTGCGGGGGACGCAAGGAGGAGACGCAGGTCCACGCAGCGTACAACTCCCCCGCAGTCACCACGCGGCGCCAGCACCCCAGCCCCGAGGGGCGACGACTGCAGTCCGGCGCTCGCTCGCCGGGGACTGCGCGCAGCGGAATCGCCGAGCCCTGGGGCGGTAGGCGAATTGGAGAGGGTAAGGCGCGGGTAGCCAGAAGAAGGGTCGAGCCCAGGCGAGGGGTCTGGGAGGCCCGGCCGCGGGAGTTCGGAAAGTCTGGTCAAACAGGAAAATCGTCCCCAGGTGCCACTTCCTCGGGAGATCCCCTCGGGCTGAGCAGGGTGTCTCAGAAAGGCCTTTCGAGACGCCCGGATCTTAGCCTCTCACCTCTCCCGCCTCCTCCCTGAGCCCGCCCAGCCCTCGTGTCTCCGACCCAGAGAACGCTTGAGGCGCACCAGAGGATGCCCCGCCTTCCCCTCGTCAGTAGTCACAAGCCTGGAGAGTGAAGTTAGGGATCTCTCCGCCCTCCGTCCTGTTTAAGTCCACCAGCAGCGTCTAGAGAAACTATCCAGGATGCTTAAGTAAAAACAGGAATGTGAATGGTTCCCTTATTTTAAATCTGTTACATTTCACTTAAAAAAATTTCTCTGTAGATTAGTCTGCCAGGATCACAGATACTGGTAATACCATGTATCAAAACCACAACTAAACAAAATAGCCTAGTCTCTCCCAATGATCTAATACGTAACAAATTAGGTACCCACGGGGCTTTGCAAAGGTGGTGTAACGTTGCTTACACTGCTTGAGAAGTATATGGATGGTTCTTTTTTATTATTTTGTTAAATTGGACCCTTTAGTATAGTTTACAATCTAACAAAATTATCTTAATGCAATAAACTGACTTACCTTCATCAGATCTACATTTCAAACAGGCTTAAAGGAAACAATGAATGAACTGCAGGTTTCAGAAAGCTTCAGTGATGCAACAGTTTTTAAGTAGTTCTTAAGGTTAGCAGTTTCCAAGCAGTCTTGAAAATGCTATGCTTAAAAACTGAAAAAATGTATACTCCTCAATTTGTTTATATACAGATATCAACATGATGAATTTTCAGTCAAGTTAAAACTGGGTTCTCTCAATCCCATTAGTTTAGTTTTCCCGTTTTGGGGGGAGAGGCAGGGGATAATTTTAGATACTCAGCTTAAAAAATTCTTAGATATACTAACAGAAGTCCTCTGTAAAACGCCAACACCCCAGAACACCTTAATCCATACTCACTGCTAGATTATTTTATTTTAAAATGTGCTACAGTGAATGGATGTATCCATATTGGCTTTTATAAATGCACACACACACACACACACACACACACACACACACACACACAGACACACATACACTAAGTATATAGGTCATTGGTTAAAGACCTGTCCAAAAGAATAATTACTAGAAAGTTAATGTCGGTGTTTACATTTCATTTGACAATTACAATTTATTTGAACTGAGGTTTCAGTTGCTTAATAATGACTGATAATAACGACTGGCAATTACAATGACTTAGAGAACTATAAATTTCTCTGTGTGCCTTGGGTCAAAATTTTCATTGGTGGATAATTTTCACCAAAATTCTGTAGCTTAGTTAACCTAAAAAATTATTATCCTTCACCACAGAAATTTAATGGAATCCTAAAATCATAAATTTACTAACAATTATTTTTGTAATGGGGTTTATATTCAGAAGGAATAAATATCTGTCACTTACCAAAAGACTGTTCTGAGAGCTCAAAAAGTATAATGCCATAATAAATCATTCATATGTGAAGGTCTCTTGTTTAGATGCTACCACAGTTTATGTTAAACAGAAAGGCAGCACCACATTTCTTACTCTTGTAAAGGAGGAAAGCCTTTTAAAAAACTCTTTGAAGAAGTTTCAGTAGATATGTTCAGAGTCAAACACAGCAGCACTTTATTAACAAGGACAGAGCAATATGATCACAAGGAAATACTCATAAGTCTAAACTGAATGCTATCTTGGGCAGCATAAAAGGAATACTAACAAGTGTAGGCATCCCAGTGTGTCTGTCTCACACCTGTTCAACGGGAAGGTGACTCATAAGCAAGGCAAGAACAGAGCAACACTGATACCACACACTGACTACAATACTTCATTACTTTGAGAAGGGTAGTGAATGGTCATACCCCCAACTAGAAAGAGGAATCATTTGAGACCTATCAGTTGGGCCAACAGTTCTGTTAAGCTTTAATACTGCCTACTCCTGAACTCTGGTATTAACCTCCTCTCTATGTAGGAAGTCAATGTTCATGCTCTTGATAGGGGCTGTTTAAATCTTTCTGATTTCTGTCAAATCCATCTGACCTCAGAGCACTGGGTCTAAGAGTCAACTTCTTTCAACATTGATGTCTTTCCCTTGAGATCTTTAATCGTGCTAAATCAGCATAATGTTATCATAATTTGAAAATGACATGGGGGCACAAAAAAGTCCTAATTTATATACATGTGTATATATGTATATACATACACATACTTTTCATTACTATATATATATATATATATATATATATAGCATCCCATATTCCAGTATCACATGGCAGAGAATTTACAGTCAGAATAATCAAGACATTTAATTTAGTTTTCCTGTGGCCACTCATGTAGTGAACTGAAAAATACCAGTGTATTAATAAGGTCCCTTTTTATTACATGCTATTTCTAAGCAGATATTTGGAATGCTCAGAAGACTCCACTTTCAGTCTCCTAAGGCCTCCTAAGACATAATTTAAAGTGGGACTTGATAGAACAAATATCTTTGCACTCTAGTTGAAACAGAAGTAGTTTCTGTTTATATCCTAGGAAACCTTGGATAACATGCCTTGTTTGTGAAATTGAAAAAAACAGCAGATCAGCGCACAAAGAGAAAGGATGCAACAGATATCAAAGTGGGTAAATGCCCAACTATTCTGACTCCTCCTCATCTGTGCAAAGCAAGGTGGTACAAGTAGGCCAAGTCTGACTGGGCAGAGTTTGAGGAAGATGCTTTTCTGTTTGATGAACAAGAAAATAATTTTATGAAAATGTGGGGATGGGAGAGGGAGCAGCTCTGTGCTTCTTGCTGTGTTACCTTTATTATGTTCCCAGTGTCACTGAGACTAGTTTAAAAATAGCCTACAAAAAGAATGTTCTAATCACCAGCCACCTTTTCCACCTTTCTTCTTTTTCTGTTGCTGTTTCTTTTTTGTTGCTGGAGCCCCTGCAGGTTTCTGGTGTCTTGGGGGTATGATATTACTTGTAGATGTAGATGCTGTTGCTGCGCTGCCAGGTCGTGGGGAGGTGGGTGGGCTGCTCACAGTTTTACTGGCATCCCTGAAATCATCAGATCAGGAAAGTGTTGGTCATTCATATATTCAACAAAGGAAAAGGCTATAAAAATGTATGTACATGGATTTCACCTCTCACAATCTCCCACACACATTTTCTTTTTCTTCCTTTCTTTTTTTTTTGGCCGCGCCACATGGCATGCGGGATCTTGGTTCCCCGATCAGGGTTGGCACATGTGATCTTGGTTCCCAGACCAGGGGTGGAACCCGTGCCCCCTGCAGTGCCTCCGAGCTCGGAGTCTTAACCACTGGACTGCGCGGAAGTTCCCACACATATTTTCTTTTAAGGTGCGTTCCCCAACTCCCTATCCATTTTTCTTTTGAATAAAATTTTTACTGCGTTATAATTTTTAAAAATGTAATTGATGGTACATGTCAATTTTTAGAAAGCTTAGAAAATAAAGAAAAAAGAAACTTTTAACGACCTATAATCCTTCCATGTAGAAATAACTGATTTAGTAACATTTTAAATTCTGCTTTCTAGTCAAATTATTTATTTATATCTGTTTCTCTAGATATTTAGTTAGTTGAATTACTCAGTGTATATAGTTTCCTTTTGAAGGTACTGTAATCCTAACATCTGCAATACAATCCTACAATTCTAGTATTTACAATACAACCGAGCCAGAAACAGCATGTTTTCTTTCCTTTACATAAGCATATTACAAAACATTTATTAAAGATATCTGACTATACTTCTCATACTATAAACATAACTCAAAAATTCTTAATGATGACCCTGAGTCAATCTCAGAAAGAAGCAACCTATGCCCTGAGGACTGGGAAGCAATGACTTACAATTCAGATGAAGCTCCTACAGTTGCTCCCTGGGTCCCTTTTCCAATCTGATCCTTCTTTTTACCCTTCTTTCTTCCTCGGTAGTAAGAACGTTCACGCATTGGTAGCCATCTTTCTGGATCTGGGGTCACTTTTGGGTCATAATTTTTAGGCAGTTTTCCTGTTTAACAATTAATTGATAAAGAAATGAGAGATCTGTCCATAATGTTTTCGAGATAGTTTGTTTAAACACTGTGTCCAAACCTGGGAATAAATAACATTAAAACTGAAATAAACTTATCTGAGAAAGTTTTATTTGTATAATCTAGCAGAGGAAAAAGGACTTATTTCTAAGCACGACACAAAATTCAGAAGGCATAAAAAGATTTCATAGATGTATCTGTATAAAAAAGTTTAAATTTTCATTTGGTAAAAGATAATTTTTAAGAGAAATAACAAAACAAGAAAACATTTGTGTACTATGTAACAGAGCGAATTAATATTCTTAATATAGAATGAGTTCTTGATAATCAGTAGGTAAATCATATAAAGAAAATGGGCATAGCTGTAATTAGAGTAAGCCAAGAGAAATAAAAGTCATTAACTATGTGAAAAGATGCATGACCTCACTAATTAAAAATAATAAGGATAGGGGAGTTCCCTGGTGGCCTAGTGGTTAGGATTCCAGGCTTTCACTGCCATGGCCTGGGTTCAATCCTTGGTCAGGGAACTGAGATCCCATAAGCTGTGCAGCGTGGCCCCCCCCCCCAAAAAAAAAAAAATTAAAGGATAAAAAATTCTATATTAAAAAGTGTAATATGCAGTGTTTGTGAGATAGTGGGCAACTCTCAAACACTATGGCATGCAGAAGTATATACTAGTATAGCCTCTGTAGAGAGCAAATAATTGGCAGTACCAGTCAAAATTTATACTTTTAGAAATTTATCTTGCAGAAACTCCTAAGTCACAAAGCTATATATGTGTTAAGAATACTCTCTGTGATATTCTTGAAAACAGCAAATTAACTTAAATGTCTATCAATAAGAGAATGATTATAGTATCCTCACACTATAGCAAGCTATAAAACTGAGTTAAAAAATGAAATACATCTATATTTAATAATTTGGAAAAATGTCTGCACAATATAGTCTAAAGTAGAAGATTAAAACAAATTATCCTGATTTGTTTATATCAGTTTTGTAAAAATATTAATTGAGCATGTAAATGTGTATGTGTTTATATATACAAAAAAAGTT